TATTATATTGCATTTGTAGACATTTTTATACAAGAAATACAGCTATAAAGTTAAGAAATGCTTTGGGGTCAGGAATGGATTAATCCATTTTATATTGTTTTCTTATGGGAAAATTTGTTTCTGTTTGAGAACAAATCGATTTTCAAACAACTCTTAGGAATGAATCAAGTTTGAAAACCGCAGTTTGACTGTAATACAATATTATCGTGAAATTAATTAATATAAAAAAATTAATAATTACACATACCTGACAAACTAATAATTATATCTTGAATAATTGGACTTAATGAATGAAGATGAGCACTCCATAGTTTTCTACAATTTACTGCTCTTGAAACTTCTTCTTGCAACAATGGCTTTAAATAACAGGAAAATAATTAAATTTTAAATATTTGATATTGAACTAAAAAAATTGAATATGATTTGCACTTTAATACCTCTCGAGTCTGTAACGGAAGAGGTAAAGGTAAAAGTTCAGAAAATACACTTAAACCAGTTGTAAATGTATTTGGAGATTGTAATAAAAATTTTAAAACTTCTTGAATCATTTTTGTCCAAAGACTTTTGCTTAATGCTGTAAAAAGTAACAATTAAATAACAATAAAAATTCAAATTTTTAGTAATTGGTTATATTTCCTTATTAAGACATTTCAAATATTTTTTTCACATTGTCAATTCTATTAAAATCCACTATTAAGATGATAATATAATGTATGTTTATAATAACGTACATTATCTTATAATCAATATATACCAATTTATTTACTTTTCAACACTTTCTTTAAATAATTTCAATGAAATAAACTATAGAGCAAACACACATTATTATAGATTCTATCCAAGATGTAACACCATATCTTGGATATATGACATGATGATGACCATTAAATGACAGTCAAAAACATTTGTTTAATCTAGGGGTCCCCAAAGTGGTCAATATCAACCCCTTGGGGTCAATAAGAGTTCTCCAGAGGTCGATTAATACACAAGAGTCGAAAGGGGGTCAATTAATACCAAAAAGGATCAATTAAACTGTCTAGGAAAAAAAACATAATATTCCAATAAAAATTCGAAATACGGATATGATCAACATTACTGACTACCCTAGTTATAACTCGAGTTTTGCCTTAGTCTACACCGCCTTAACCATGTGCTACTCTGTTTTCACGCATCTGGCAACTGTACTAGTGTTGCAAACATGTTATGAACGCTGGTAGTTCATTATACACAGACATACGTTGCACTGTTACACTCTAGTATGGTTGTCACTCTAAGTATTTTATATCTAAATGTAGATACATATAACTACTAACACCTTATTCTTGCCGAGAAACATAATTTATTTGAAACAAATGTTTTCAGCCTGATTCCATTGCTTATTTAATTTTTAATTTTGAATTTTGTATTCCATTGATGGAATCCTTTAATTCAAATTTGTTCTAAACTTGAGGATGGCCTGTGAATAAGGCTGAAAACGTTTGTTTCAAATAAATTATGTTTCTTGGCAAGAATAAGGTGTTAGTTATATGTATAGTGATTTGCTGAGTACTTTATGATATTAAATGTAGATATTTTGTCCTTTACAGAGAAAATATTGTAATATATTGAAAATCATTAATCCTTTACCATTGCCATCTTGTTTACGTTTATTTTGTAAACTGTCCAACAGCAATATAGGTCAGTCAGGCGATATTATTTAAAAAATTCACCAAAAATCAAATTATCATTATGTTCATATGAAAAAATCATATACATTTATTAATATCTTTAGTTTAATAGTTTAGAATAATTATAATTCCTTCTAATTCTAAATATCTATTGTTAGCAAAAGGTGGCAACACAACACTCTGAGAATGAACAGGCAGTTCTTTATAGCTTGTGCGGGAGTAAGTTGTCTCTTACTGCTGCTATTTTGTTGTGCTGCAAACATATTGTGTTTTTCATATTAAAAATCAGATTTTAATACCCACAATGACGACTACCAATGCTAAGAAGAAATGCAGACAATATTCACAAAAGTATTTGAAATATGGTTTTGTACCATCGTTTACTAATGAAACTATTCCTATGTGCTTATTATGTGAAAAAAACTTTCAGCAATGACGCTATGAAGCCGGCGAAAATGAAAGACCACTTGGAAAGAATCCATTCTGATAAGAAAAACAAAGATTTTGAGTATTTCAAAATGCTAAAAGAGAAACTGAGAGTTCGGCCAAATTTGAATACATATTTGAAGTCATCTGCTAGTGTTGATAGAGAAGGACTGAAGACATCCTACAGCATCTCTCTTAATATTGCAAAGAAAGGCAAACCATATACTATAGGTAAAAGATTATGATACCAGCTATAAAAGATGTAAAAGATGTAATTGAAAATGTTATGTAGAAAGACTCTCAACTAGGCTAGTTTTAAAATGCATGTACTGCGCAATGACGTATTAAGGAAATGACCGATGATGTGGAAAGAACTTTGACCTCTGAGCTCCAGCATTGTAAGTTTGCTATTCAACTTGATGAATCAACTTTCAGATGTTCAAATCTTCTCACGGCTTATGTTAGATTTCATAGCCCATCCCTGAATGACACTGTTGATGAATTTCTATTTGCTAAGTATCTTGAAACTGATTCAAAAGGTAAGACAATTTTTTTATGTTTGCAAGATTATTTGAACAAGCACAGCATTCCTTTTGGAAATATTACTGCAGTAGCTACTGATGGTGCACCTACTATGGTAGGCCGTTACAGAGGATGTTTTGCATTTCTGAAGGAAAAGGTTCCTAAAGTACATACTGTTCACTGTATCCTACACAGGCAGCATCTTGTAGCCAAAAAACTGAGTGGTGAACTTCATATTCTAAAAGTGTGCATCAGGTCAATAAATTAAATTAAAGCTCATCTTCTCAATTCCAGATTGTTGCGAAGTTATGTGAAGAAAATGATGAAACTTTCAGCCAATTACTTTTGCATACTGAAGTAAGGTGGTTGTCAAGAGGTGATAGTTTGCAGAGGCTTGTTGACTTGTATGACTCAGCTGAAGAGTTTCTTAGGAATGTGGATCCATCACTATGTGACCAGTTAAAACAGTGCAAAAACCATCTGTTCTATTTGGCAGACCTTTATTCGAAATTTAATATAGTACAGAAGCATTTGCAAGGAAAAAACATTGCAATTGTTCAAGCTCGAACAATCATAATGGCCTTTCAAGTAAAAATGGAGCTATTTAAATCTTCACTGGCATGATCTGATTTTAAATTTTTTTCAAACTTGCGAATACTAAAAGAAAATGAAAAGATTTCCGACCGTGATTTGAAGATATATATTAAACATCTTGATAAATTAAAAAAAGACTTTAAAGCACATTTTGAAGACTTGGAGAATATGTATATTCCCGAATGGTTTGCTAATCCATTTGATGTAAAAATAGATAATGAAGATAGTGAACCTGACTTAGATGAACTGATTGAAATGTGTGTAGATCTCGAAGCTAAAGTGTTGTTTAAAAATAAAAATCTCAGTGAATTTTGGAGCAATAACAATATTGCCACTAAATATCACAAGCTCAGAGCAGAAGCCGAACCTTTCTTACTTGCATTCCCAACTTCATACAAAATTGAAGCTGGTTTTAGCCACACGAATGCAATTTTGACAAAACAGAGGAACAGATTGAACTTGGAAAACCGTGGTGATTTGCAACTAAAACTTACCAATTTTCAACCGAATATCAATAATCTTGCTGCTTCTCTTCAGACACATCCATCCCACTAACATCAACTATTTTAATAAAAAGGTATGTTAACATATTTTTAAGGTATTCAGTAGTAGTTGCAAAATGACAGTAAGAGGGTTTTTCATACAATATAACTTATGTTATGTTTTCAAAGATAATTGTGTATTTTATGTATTATGACACGTATGGTTTAAGAACTATAGGCAAATTTCATTCTATCCATAATTTTGCTATTATTTTTTAAGATTATAAATCAATGGAAAATATCTTCTTTTTCTGTTAATGTTATTGGGTGGTTTTTATCAGATATGGGAACTATAAATTCTTTTGTTGGGTTGTTATGCAGGTCTCCTTATTGCTTAACATCAGAAATGCAAAAAATAATTTAATGTTTTTGTTAAATACTTAATCTGGGGGTCAATAAGAAGGCAAATATTCTATAAAGGGGTCGATGGGATAAAAAGTTTGGAGACCCCTAGTTTAATCAAACAGTCATTTTGCTGGAATAACAAAATGTGTTTTCTCTATAGAATTCTTCAGTTCTGGTTTATATACAATGATAAAAACATAAAAAATAACTATATTAAGTTAGATTTTAATTAACTCTTAACTCTTTAAGCCCTGAAAATTTACTCCATCTCTGTTGCTAATGACTAAATTGTTTTTACCCCTCAGGCTACAAGGGAAACTCATATAGAAAAACTAGTCTAACAACTTTTCAATCGGCCGATTTTGTTTTTAACAGATAAGGCCAATTTTGGCTAATATGTTTAGAGTTAAAATTCATAAACAGATCAATTATTATTAGAAATCTCTGATAATTATAATTAAATGTAAAAATAAATATTTATTTTTACATTTTATGTAACATGTATAGTTTAATTCTTTTTAGTTGATANGAGCCTTTACTACATGAAAATGAAAATTAATGAATACACTGTGTACAGTAATTTACCTGATAAGACAGACCTTAGAAAAATACTTTATGAGAGCTTTTATACTTTTATAAAGCTGTCTATAATGAAAATTAATTAACTAAGGATTTTTTTGCCCTGCCAGGGTGTGGCCGAGTTATCCGGAGTGCTGGGTTATCGAGTGCCGAGTTTTCGAGAGTCTACTGTATTATTATTTTCATTTTCTAGTCATAAAATTTTTCAAAAATTATGTTATAAGCATGAATTGCACATAATTTCAAAAATCATTTAAAAATTGAATTCTAATATTTGTCCCTGATAAAATAAAATCTAATGTACTATGTTAAAAATCATAATTACCGTTAATAGGCGTTCTAGTTCAAATAACGGATGCGATTGTTTTTCAGATGAATTATTATTTGTGTTTTGCTCAAATTTATACCAGTCAAGAATTTTGCGTAACTCTGATGTTGAAAGAACCAAAGTTCGAGCAGGAACCGGTTGAGATGTTTCTTCATATCCATGAACCATAAGTCTTAAAAATTCTAAAGTTGTTGACAAAGTTGATAAACAATCTGAGCTATCTTTGCTGAAGGTGGTACTCAAACGTGCAAATAAAGATCGAAGTGTTGATGGATGTTGAATTAAAGCTCTAAAAAAATAAATAAATACAGTAAATAAATTACACATATTTACAATCACATTATAAAAATTTGTAATATTCTGCTTACTGTTTCACATAAAAAAATCCAAAATCATGTTCTGTGAGCATAACTAATGTTCTTAATGATGGCAAAACTGATGCAAACGTATGCTGATGATTGCCAATATGTTGTATCAATGCTCCACTAATTTCAGATATATGTTCCTTAGGTGGAAGAGAATTTGCCAACTATCCAAACACAATTTTAAAATTAAATAACATCAATTTTTT